AATTTGCCTCCGAAAAACTAGAAGAACTTGGACCAAATTGCGAAATATTGAGCGAAAAGCCGATTGGTAATCTCATCGGCTGTTCGCTCAGTATTTTTGAGTCAACCCCATGTAATGGACATCGCCAATCGTTCCCATTTGAAAATAAAACCACACAATTTTTTGGATGACGCAGACAAAGCAGACACTGCTGTTTTCTTTCACCAGGGTAGTCAGAATTCAATTCAATAGTATGATTACCTACTGGCAATGAAATCATGAATACACTACGTATCACACCGAGTGGGCGTTCTGCGTACTTGACGGCGGCAGACGCATTTGGTGGAAGTCGCGTGGTTGGGCTTTCTTCAACACACTTTGATACAAACCAGCTAAGCATGCTAGGAACATCTTATTCACACAACTTCAGCAAGAGTATAAGAGTATATTACACAGCGCATCTTCAGCACCCATTCAAGGCACATTGATCGAACATACATTGCGTGTCAACTGTTTCTGCCATCTCTGGACTCATCAGATATCATTTACTACATGGTCTGAGCCCTCCCTAATCGGCAAAACGTTTATCGTTCCTTGCATGTCTGGAAACTTACAACATTGTCACTTGGTATTGGTTACCGTGCAAATTTCACTCACTACCCAAATTCCAAGTGAAAGCACCACTGCAGTTGTAATACAATCGCAATATTTTCTTCGGAACTTTTCTTCTCATTGCGACTGCTGAGCTCGTTCCGTATTTAATAGGGATCGGCTCTACTCATTCATAAAATTCATAGGTGGCTGGTCATTCACAGCGAGTTTGCTCCATATGCATTTCAGCCTTTTCAGACGGCATCAGCACGGATACACTCGATGAGGGACGGTATACTTGCACGTTAACGTGCAGTTTTAACGAGTGCAGATACAAGTGTTTCCGATAATTTTAGAAATTGCTTCCTATGGCACCTGGGAGACCTATTTATGAAACTCTGAAGAAAGCTTCCCAGGTGAGCTGCAGCTCCCTGGCAGGGTGGTCCTTGTTACGCGCAGCCGTAAAACGCGCAGGAAGGGCTCGCTGACAGAAAACGGGACGCGGAGGGGCGAAATACAATGTGTTTGGAGAGACGCAGGTGACGCCCGTTACGCGCAGCAAAAAGTCCTTCGGAGGACTTTTTGGAGTTGGCCAACTTCAAACTGCCAGGTGCGTGGGTCAAAGCACGGTGTTGGAAAGGGAAAGGGAGGCACCTTGCATTGATTCGTCAGTGGTGTAGCGCCTGCGGTCTACGTTGGTGTTGGATCAGTCGCGGGATCACTACGATAAGTCTAAAGGTTTGCAACCTTCGTAGGCTATTCCCTTTTCTCTACAACCCTTTCACCGTCGATAAGAAGGGCTCCTTAGTGCAGTGGTAGCGATGCCGCTCATGGGACGGTGCACCGAAAGTTCAAACCCGTGTGTGACGCAAGGTTTGCAGGCAACGTGGGGCTCACCACTTCCACTATGGCAAATTACCAATGGCTCAATAGGATATCTTGAACTCCAAGCGGTGTAGATCCAGCTGCCGCTGGCCGATGGATCTGCACCGCTTAGAGTTTAGGATATGTTTCCACTTTCCGCTCCTGCACAACGTACAGCGCTGTGCCAGGCCTCTACGCCGTCACTGGCAGTAGGCAGATCGATACCGCTCGCACGAGATTTTTACAAACAGCCTGAACCATCCTAATGTGATCAGCGACCTCCCAGAAAAAGCAAAAAAGTAGTGATACTGCTCCGTGGTGCAGTGGCAACAATAGCAGTTTAGTTCCGCATGTTTGGGTTCGGTCTCGTGGAGGTGTGAAGTTTTGCTTTTGATGTCGCGAAGTTCCGCGTTTCAGATAGTTACCCTCCAACTTCAGAATCGTTCTTTCTCGTCCATGACTGTTATTCTTAACAGCTAGTTTAGGGCAGATTACTACCGTCCTAGATAAGGTGTGGTTTCTACTTTGTGGTCGCTTCTGTAGCCTTTAATAGAGTATGTAATTAGGGATCTTATTAATGTAATTTTCACATAGCTACGGCCAGCACTTCTGATACCGCCGCTCACTTCATCAGAGGCAACGTTTCAAGCGATTACCCAATGTCCCATTGCGCGACACCATCTCTCATGCCATCGGTTTCGCTCACAAGAGTACGAGAAATATTATCCGAAAACATTGGCTCACAGTTATAACAGCTTCAATCTTCTCTGAACCGAGACGACAAATATGTACAAGGACGACAAATATGTACAAGAAAGAGAATCAGAAGCCAATGGAGCCTCGCGAAGACTCCGCGTTTGCATGGATGTCCTCCTCGACGTGCTCTCTTCGCTATTTTATTCGCTGCTACCGAAGGCGGTAAATAACAGCTGTAATGAAACATGGCTGCTGATTATTCGGTAGATTTCTTATGTGCTCAAGCACTGGTCGCTACCCGCATGAAATCCTCAGGAGAATCCCTCTGATGCTTTTAAATCATTTCAATAATCACTTCAATCACTCCACCGCGATTCATTCGAAGTAACCTCTATTTCGAAAATTGCGACAAACATTGAGTGCAGACCACGGACCACAAATGACGGCTCCCAAGAGGAAATTGGCTTTTTCTTTCCTTTTTTCCTTGGCCGCCGTAACTTGTGGTGTGTGGTCTGCACTCGACGCTCTTCTCGTTTTCCGAAATAGTGGATATGTTGTTTTGTGCAATCGTTCAGCCTCCAGTTGATAACCTGCTACATTGAAACTGGGGATTTGTATGGCCAGCCTTCGTCTTTAATGCCCTTAATGACGTCAAACAAATTTGCTCAACTTGCAAAACTCTGTCAGTGAGAAGGAATAGCCTTACTGCCATATCCAGTCATTTTGAACAATGCAATAGATGACAGCTTACCATGAAGTTCACATTGTTTATCGAATGGACTTAATTTTTCAACCTTGTGTACGAAATCTGAGGGAGAGGAAGAAGAGATGTTTATTTAGGGTGCGCTCATCGCTGTTGCTCTTCTTAGGTGGTCCTAATCAACAATTGAGAGTTTTGGAAGCTTTTGGTATGAAGATTTCGCCTTTTTTGAAGAATTTCGACAAAAATTCCATATGTCTTTATACATATTGGCCCCGTTAGTGGTCTGTGCCTAAGCTGTCGACATTTTTCGCCCATATTTTCATCTGCACATCCAACAGAGCTGCTCAATTTTCGAAATAGGCTTTTCTCCAAGCCTACTACGCGATATTTCTCGGAACTTTTACAAATATTCTCTTTAACTTCCGAATTTGTGGTCAGCTTTCTCAGGCATCTTAGCATGTTGCGTTGGGTAAGCTTTTTGACAAAATTCTCTCCTGCTCCTTGCAATCAACCGACCTTCAGTAAAAACGCCTCAATTGTATTATACTTTGCTTTGATGTCGGATAACTATGTCGATGCATCCTCTTCATATAGCAGATATTGTCAGAACTTTGATAGAAGACACATTGGACCAAAAATTCTTTTGTTTCGGATGAAGCAGAGCCATCCACCAGATGAACACAACGGCCGCCATAAGCTCCATACGGCCAAATGTGGAAGTAGAGCTGCTAAATGGTGCGCCGGAGAAGGGCGAGGGAGGGGAAGGTGTCCAAGAGTGGGTTTTCGACGCCTTATCACGCCGTTGTTAACACATTTATGCTGCAAAGGGTCGCCTATCGTATCCAATGGCACCCTCCCTCTCCCCTCCCTCTCCACTTTGCACGTTCCCGTTTATGAATATTGGATTTATCGCGACCGCTGCCTTGTAAGTCTTGCATATTGTCAAAACAAAACTCATGAACGTTCAATTAGTGCACAACTCCGCTTTGGAAGAACCGCTTCTGTCCCGAAAGGTAATGTGTTCGAGACGACCATTATCATAAGTTCTTGCAGTGATTGTATTTAGTTGTGGATTCTTCCGAGGTTAATCCACCTAATCTGTACTTGGACATCTTCGTTTGCATGTCCATCTACTCTAAGTATTTAGTATGATTTGTACTGCTTCATGACCTTTAATACGCGATATGTATGACTGACCTCGCCTGGAAAGGCACAGTTTGAAGGTATTGCGCGTACTGTATAGCACGTATTAAGCTATGTGCAACGCACGTCAGTATTGAAGAACGAAGAAAGGGTAATTAGCAAATTCACATCGGCCTGCATCCTTATGAAAGCACCGTATACACGCCTTACGTCTTTTGGATCCTACAGGATTTCTTCGTTACGTGAAAATCGCAACGCGAAAAATTTTGGCTGAGCTAACTCCCAAATCTTCGTTGGAACCAGTCTCCATCCAAATCTCCAATGCGCATATACCATGGGAAATGATAGGAGTCCAATCCGTTTGAATCTTCGCAATGTGAGGTTTGGTCACGGCGACATCCTGCGACGGAATTGCGCCTGAAGGGAATCCCGACGTGCAGAGGGTATGGCAACCCACTCCTTCCCAAACTTTTGTACCCACCAATTTTCAATATTATACCTACATTTCCTGCACTTTATTATTACGCGGTTTTTCTTGTTCGCTGGTAAACAAATGATTCATATGGGGATGGGATATCGCCTCGCAGTTTCGTGAATAGTTTCGTTATGGCAAGGCTGTTATGAAAGAGTCGCACAGTTACGTAGTGCATGTGATGTTAATGAAACAGCTCGCAACCCATTCTGAAAGTGAATTAGGTCGGAAGGCAGAACGCTGAAGGAAAACCGTGTCGGAGATAATCAACCAGGTCTGGAGATTGCGGATGGCAGTACATCAATACAGTGGAAAGGCTGAACCCGTAGGCAATAGAATTATCAAGCAGTTGGTTCTTCTTTGTGGTCGACATCCGGATGTTGATAAACACAGTGCCAGTGACTGCTGTGATGCTCACAGGGATTTTAGCCATAGTGCAGAACGAGAGATGGGCGTGGACACATGAGACGAGCCGAGAGGCTTGAGCTCGCGCTGTTTTGACGCCTCCAACAATAGGATAAGAGACCGGCGCTAGGAGGGTGCAATCCGACTATGTGGTGTCTCACACTAGCTAGGCGAATGCGTCGAGATCATACTGGTAAGTAACGCCTGCAGTAAATTAAGTGTCAGAGTGACCATAGCTGAGAAAAGAAAGAAGATGGTAGAGGGCATGTAGAAAATGACAGAAAGAGAACGGTAGTAGGGCACGTATACCTACTACCGCGCAAGGTAGCCGTGCATCCAATACAGTGAAATGAGGATAATGTAGCCGTGCCTCAAAACACAGCGAAATGGGGTGCGGGATCGTCCGCGGCGAACTGCGCGGCGAGCTGAGGTTTGCGCTTGAAGGTCCCAATAAAAGAGAACCCGACACTAAGATCAGTTCTGACTTGTTTTGTTCTGTTGTGTTTTTGTGCGAACCATTTCAAGTTCTGCTAAGATCAGTGTTCCCTGAGAGAGGAGCCTCAGCAGCTTGATGATATTGAATCGTTGGTCAGTTGGGAAGAGCCTCAGTGGCTCAGAGGAGAGAGCCTTTCCGACTAATTTCCATTCGCTCCCTTTATTGAATTTGCTCACCTAATAAACCTCGTTTCCTACTGGTTTCAGACGCAGTAGGTTGGTCATACGTCGCAGAACACGAATTCACTATCTTATCATACTGCCGTGCTTAGCACGACAACGGTTCTCATTGGCAATAGACAAGATAAACCAATTCTAGAGTAACGGAGTTGATCCACTGACCACGCCAAACAGCTTCTTACCGTAGAAGCTGTCAAAACTTAACGACTATCCCTCTAAGCCCACGTGCATTACGCGACTCTTTCATAAAAGCCTTGCCACAATGAAATTGGCCATGGAAAAGCGTAGTGATTTTCAATACACACACGAAACATGTGTTTATCAATGAACAAAGAAAAACCACATTATAATACATTATTACTCCATCAAAGTGCAGGACTGTAGGTACAATATTGAAATCTGATGGGTATAAAAGTTCAGGGAAGGATAGGTTGTCACATTTTCAGGTCATTACGTCGAGCTTTCCTTCGATCTGCAAGTATGAAGGTCATCGCATTGTTTATTGTGCTATGTCTAGCGCAATCCATCACAGGATGTTGGCGTGCCCAGACCCTCACTTTTGGGAAATTCAAACACATTGGCCTTCTAACATTTGCAACAAATATATGGGGGATATGGTTGTGGAATATTTCCAACGAAAATTCGTAAGTTAACTAGGCAACTAGAGTTAATTAGCGTCCACATTGTGATGTTCACATTGAAGAAAAATTTCTGCAGGACAAAAACGATCCATTCGGCAATTATAAGGTTCTCTCATATAAGGATGGAGGCCGATTCGAATTCGTTCATTACCCTTTCTTCGTTCTGCAATACGATGAGGTACGTATCATATTACATAATACATGCTATCAAATTACACTACAGGCGGTGTCTTCAAAGTGTTCCTATCAATTATATGATCACATATTACAGAGGAGGGAAGTTTACAAACCATACTACTTTGAATACATAGAGGAGGAGGACAAGATAACAAAGAAGTCCACTCGCAAAATAGGTCCGTTGACCGAAGAGGAATTCACAACTAAATATAACCATTGCAAAAGGTGGTGATAATGGTCGTCTTGAACAAAACTTTGTCCACTTCGATGAAAATAAATTTCGCAGTTGTGATATTGTGTAACCTTTGACTACCAACATTAAACGTGTGTTGTGCCAGAATTAGGCAAACATTTTTGGGACAGAACTGGCTTTTACAGAGCGGTGTGTGCACGAGTAGAAGCTTCATGAATTTTGTCGTGAATATGTGCAACACCTCAAAGGCAGCGGTCGCGATAAATTCCATTATTTACACAAGGGAAATGCACAGATAACAAGGGGTGGATGCCCAGATACGATAGGTGACGCTATCGCAGCAGAAGCGCGTGGTTGATGTGTTTTCAACAAGAGTAGGTGGAAGTCAGCAAGGTAGGACGGAAACAGCTAGTTCACACGATTTCGTCGAGGCCACTTCAAGTCCACTGTCGCGCCTACTTATACGGTGATGTATGGACTGTAGGTGAGCACCCTCGTTTTTGAGATTGGGTCAAAACCTCAAATTTGGCTTTGAAGTTGCGCTCAGGGGTAGTTTGACCCAATGATGGTTAGCAATAAAGTGCCTGCAGCATTCTCTATGGGGCAAGGAAGATCTCAACACCTCGCATGAAGAAAACTCTTATTAGCAATGTTCCAAGAAAAGGAGAAGAGATCGAGATTGCTAAGAACTCATACTTACGATCGAGCCGGTACCGCTGAAGCCGTCAATTTATGGACTAGAATCAAGTATTCGAGTTCGAGCGCCCAAAAAACATCGATTGGTAAACGTTCCACTCCACTTCTTTTCCTGTTCCCCTTCCCTTGTTATTTGATAGTTTCACGAAGCCGGTGTACTGGGTGGTTGGAAATCGGTGTACTGGTGATCGGGTACTAGCATCGAAATTCATCACTATCTTTCTCTGAACGGATTATGGTGCGATTTAATTGCAGAGGATTTTCAATGAGAGCTGACAAACACGTTCACATTTGACATTGTATTGAAAAAGTCCCGTGCTTCAACGACTAGAATTCGTATCATGAACGAATACAAAGTGCAGGTTTTGATGAATTGAATTTCATGCGAGTACATCTCTTTACTGAGGCACAACTGTGTAATATATGCACGTGAACCTTACGGTTTTTACTTAATACCAGAATACTTACATGCTAAGAC